GCCACAGTCTCTTAAAGGCGGCATTTTTATTGGAAAAAAACGAAGGAAGGGTTCAAGCCCAAATGGTCACACGAAGACCTTTGGGTCATTCTCCGTCAATTCTTACCATCGGAGTTTCTCGAAGAGCTTATGTGCGCTCATGACTACCGTCATCAAAAACGAGGTGGTAGTTCCAACTACTGATAAACTTTTCCACGGATGTTTCCACCAGTTCTTCATAATCCAATGAGCAGTCTGTGCTAGATTATCTATATTTTAGTTTTTCGGCATGTACGCTTTATCAAAATAGCTACATCTTAATAAAAGTCACTATTATGCTGGCGAATCCTCGAGATCTGTCTTTTGCAAATGTCCCAAAAATCAGTTTTCTGCTTCCAGGTAGTGGAGGAGCCAGGCTTGCCCCAGCATTATTCTGTATCTCAGCTCATGCAACGCACGGGTGGCAATTCGTTTTAAAGCAAGGAAAGCAAATCGACTCTTTTTACATTATGCCTGCGGCACGTCTTGGGGCACGGAACAAGTGACTTGTATTATATAGTTTCCAAATTGCATTAAACCTCAGGACAATTTGCAATTTCCTGAATTTGATTTCAGGGTTCACTCCTCTTTGAGATGTTTCACAATCCAGATTGATAAAGCGCGTTGCCACCGGTCATTAATACCGAAGCCAACTTGTTGTGTTAGCCAGTGCTACAAGATACTGCAGTTCTGACACTTGAAAGGGCACTCTCGGCGTTAATCTAAACTGTTTCTGCTGTACGCGTGGAGCGATGATATCGTTATCCCTGGCTCGTCATAAGTGCATTTGAACGGTGGTTTTGCAGTCGATACTTCTCGCATGGGTGACGGAGAGCTACCTCGCAAATCTTTATTGATCGTCAAATGCTTCTGACTTTCGGGAGGTTTAGAACAATCGCTCACGATGTGAAGTCAGCGAATCAGTGGTGGAACAAAATGGATCACGTTTCAGTTGACTGCAAATAGAGTGCCGCATACGAAGATCACCACTCCTTCAGAACTGCTGAGTAATCTAGCTCACTGAGCAGGATTCGCTGGATTGGAATCCAGCATGTCGAGAGCCATGATTTTCTGCACCAACATAAACATGACTCTTCAGTGCGTCAGCAAGAAAGGTACAACAAAACAACAGGTCGTTGGCTTGGAACACAATTGTTCCGCGATTTTACTCGACAGCCAGTGTAAACAGGAAAATCAGCGGTATGCTGACCATGCCCCCAAGACTTTCACAGCTGAGCTCAATCCTATATAATATGCCCCAGAGCGACCAGTAAACAAAAATCCCATATTTGGCGCAACCATTCGTTCAGTCTTGGATTTACCCTGCAACTCATTGTCATTACGGTCAAACAATGTCCAAAAGCTGCTACACCGATTTGTGTTGCGACCGTCCTACTTAAAGCAGCTGCCTGATGACCGGGCACCGGATATTTGTCGTGACCTATCGCGCTCATCTGAACGTGGTGGCTGCAATTATTTCAGCGGAAACGGTGCCAAAATCATCAAAAGCCAATACCCCTACACAAAGTCAACATAACGTCGTCTCTTGTGCGATAACTGAAAACCTCTTCAGGCACGACCAAAAGCCACACAGAGCACGTGGGCCTGCCCCTAGCCCCCGTCGTCTGTCACTAAAGCCGTGAGTGGATGGCGAAACTTGCATGTCCGAAACTCCATTGCTGTGCTTGGCTAGCGTCAGTCAAGACGTTTCCACCGACAACCAGTACCGAAAGTGGATATAGGCAGTGAACGGAGCTTGAAGACATGATCGATTCAAACTCCGCCCAGCCGGAAACCCGTTCAATCCCCAAGGGTAATGGTGTCGAGTACCTAGGGTGACCATCTTCAGGCAGTGCACGTGGACGGTTATCGGAATCGGTGAACCCTGAGCAAGAATACATATCAACACCTCAGGGCCTAAGCAGCATTTCAAACTCGCAGCACGTGTCTGTGTTGAAGGCCGAAAGTCAGATAGAAATTAGGAGTCGAGCTGCTAAACTGTCATTCTATCCACAGGTCCAACCGTGTGCCTGTGGTTTGATATTTGGAGCCGGTAGAAAAGAGTGGTACCTCAGCTTTGATTTTTTTTTATTGTAAACGTTCACAGCAGAACCATCAAGCGTACACTAGGTGCATTGCAGTTCCAGAAAGGGTTTAAAATCGATGTGGAGCGCGTCATGCACAACAACAACACTGAAGATTCAGAAGACTTATGGACAAGTCACTGGTAACTGGCATTGGGCGGAAGCAGGGACACAGCTGGTTGCTCCGACCACATTTCCAACCGCTCAAAACTCTCATTGGAGACACCTTCAAACGGTTTGACACCCTCACCGGACGCATACTGATTGACTGTAGGAGTGCATACTGCTAGGCATTGGGAAGCTATGGCATATGATTCCGCATATTGCAGATTACCGACGGTTGTGCGGGTTGACCAGCTAAGCACGCTCGATGATCAATTTTGCCCTTCCGGATGTTGGCACTGCAAGTGGAATACCTGAGTAGCACGTTGCGATAAAGGCGCTCTTCTTTTTCCGCCCATGAGTAACTCGAGAGTATCCGTTACTTCATGGGGCAGTTATGGGCTCGAGTTCACGTCGCCGTTGACTGCAAATGTGTTTGAGATTTAAACCTGCTGGGCAAGAAACTCGGAGACACTGTCAGAGGTACAGAGATATTCTGGGAATTAATCGTTTGGAGCTTAGGAAGGTATGGTATGGTGTGGAATGCGGCCGTCACATAGCCGGAAGTGTGCATTCGAAAGAGAGAGCGAAGAGAGTTTCTAGCGGACAAGCAACTTATCAGCGTGTTCGGATAAATTAACAAGCAAAGTAACCAATACAAAATCACAAAATCACAATAGGAAAGGAATGAGTAGTCAGATGGGGACTCACGAATGTGTAGATCCAATAGTCCACTACACCGATCCAAATGCAGTAACTGGTTGTGAAAGGAAATATTCACTTGTCGGAATTTCCCACAGATGGTTCCGCGTGCGTGATATATTCCACGGTAGGAAAATTATTCACGGCTAAAAAATGTCACAGGTATTTATTGTGACGTTCAACAGTTGACACAGACACAGAGATTTGGTCCCACTGGTTCAGCGGTCAACAAACAGTTCAACGGAGCATAAATACGCTCGTTCAGCAAGAAGTCAGCAGGTCGCGCCGGAAAATTGTATATTCGTAACATTAAAACAAACGTCATGGTACAGTGTGAACGACAGCTACAAAGTGTGGTTCAAGTTCAGGAAGAATGGTAAATGTGACAACGGATTACAGTTACTATAAGCTCATGGTCGTCAGTTCGACACCTGTGATGGTGTTTCATACTTCTGTTTCTGGGAGACAACATACATCAATGAATAAGCCACCAAGATTGCTTATAGCGAAGAAAAATTAGGAGCAGCGAAGAAGACCGGTATTTTGGTTTTTACCGTCGACTTCTAGGTGGTTGAAACCGTTTCTGGAGATCGACGCATAGAAGTCGCCCCCTAACACAGTTGTTAGCCATAGTGTCAGGACTTGCGGAGGGCGCCCAAAGTAGATTTGGGTGGGGGTACCGATAAGCGTGCAGGCGAGAGGAGAGATGCCCATTAACTTTTAATTGTCGCAAGTCCGATGTTGATCATGAAATTGCTGTCCCGCTCATCATAGCATGTCAGAAGACAGCAGTTTGGGAAACCTTCTAACGGAAACAAAGAGACACCGTTACAACCGCATTTATATGGTGTGTACAGAATTTTCTGCACAGGTACATCGGAATCTGGTTGTGACAGGAGACCACGGGAATTAAACGTTCCCAACGCCGATTGGCTTACATTCTGGCCAATCAGGACGCGCCTTTGACTGCTCCCAGCGGCGCCTAAAGCAGTCGTCTGATCAACTTAATGCCCATTTATTTCAAACAGCAGCCCCTCAGGCACCCACTTTGCTGTATGCAGCAAATAAGGGGACAAAACTGACGACATCTTGTGACGGCCACACGAAGGTAACCTTGGTTGGGAAGTTCATGGGTGTACCCCGGACCGGAATATTATCAGAATGGCGATGGCCATCATCGACGAATCGATGACCCAACCGGTCCAGTTGACTTTATCGCCCGTAAACCGAGTAGCAAGAGGGCATGCATGCAGCCGTTGCAGTTTCGGTCACCGGAAAATGAGAGAACAGGGAAAAGACAGTAAATCGTTTGAGACGCTGGTACAATAGTTATTTGTTGAATCTGCCTAGTTGTTTAAAGAAACGGTAATCATGACAGCTGTGCCTAGAAGGCGATAATCTGATTCAGGAGCACCACGGACTGTGTGACTGAGCCAGGTCTTCTGGGTGAGCTACTGGAACTCACCTAAATTGGTGGGCGGAATTGCCCTGCTTCAGCATGCGTAATCCCTAGCAGCACAGTCTAAAGAACCGGATTATCCGGTTATGTGACCGTCTGATGGGCACCTAGCACGATTCGTTGGTGGATACCTGCACCATCGGAACCGCCATATAGCCGTTTTTGTGGCTATCTGGAGGTTGAAAAGCCGACTTTGAGCCACGTTTTTATGTCATGGAACCGACTGATAACCGTCGAATAACCGTGTTCGCCATCCCAGGCAACTGAGGAGAGTCGACGGTAGTACCCATTTTTAAAAAAGGTAGTGAGTGTGGTAACTGCTGGGAAATCATGTTGACCCTGGTCGTAACGAGACTGTTGGCCTCATTTGTGCTTCGTCGCCTTATGGTGGCTCGTGAAACACTGACTCGATAGCAGGAAGCAGAATTTCGGCCTGGGAAGGGTTATGCTCACCAAATCTTCACTGTCCATCGGGCACAAGAACTGATAAATTGATGCATAACTCCAACATTGTCAGTGGGCTGTCAAGTGGGGGGGGGTTGGAAAAGGAGCAATGCATTGAAGGATATAGCTTGGATGCATGAGCGCCATTGAGGGCGCGACTGGGCCACGTCTGACAATGTCTCTAGCAAGTGATGTGGCCCGTCTTGGGGTCCCCATCCAGGAAGACGGCAGTGACCGGCGCAGCTGAGTTTGCTGGTAATGGCTTTCATACTTCGCTGCCAAATCACTGTTTGACCGCCTCTGGCTCTCCCCACCCTTCACGTGTTTGTGCGCAAAGAGCCCTTCGAGGAAGTCAGTCAACTGGCATACGTAGCACGTGGCCAAGCCAGCGCGACCTGTGCAGTGTGATCAGTTCATCTATCGAGGGTGAGTTATTTCTCCCGAATACCATTCGACGTACTTCAAAATTGCTGATCCGGTGTTCCCACCAGATTCGGGCAATTCTCCGAAGGTATCGATGGTCAAACACTGAAAGTCTTTTGACGTCCTCGGCGCGCAGCGGCCAGGTTTCTGATCCATATAGTAATATGGAGCGCACCGCAGCATTGTAAACCCGACCCTTGACAGAGAAACTGATGTCACGCCTACGCCACAGGTGACGTAGGTTCGCAAAAGCTGCTCTGGCCTTCCCAATACGGATGGAAATATCATCTTTCGCGAGACCACCGGGACTGATACAGCTGCCCGGGTAAACAAATTTGTCTACTACGTCAATCGGTTCATCCGCAAGCATGAGGCTAGGGCTCGAGCCCACCCAGTATTGCAGTAGCACTTTACACTTTGCAGGTGTGAAGCGCATACCAAACCGCGAGGCAGAATTATTCAGATTATTTAGTATTGTTTGCATTGCCACGGGATCAGATCCTAGAAGACCTATGTCGTCTGCGTACTCGATGTCTGTGAGCGAAGGCCCAGGGAGCACAATGCCATACGTACAAATGACCCATAATTTCGGTATTTCTGGATTTCCAAGGCTCATTTGAGTCGGTTGACCGCCTGTTCTTGACACGCTTACCCACCAAGGAATGTCCCGGAATTTTGTAAACGTAATGAGTCCTTTGTATTTTCATACTTCCTGACTTGTGGAAGTATATGCAGAGCTCTCTAAAATCTCCGAACAAAAAACAAAAAGCCGGTCCATCAGGAACGCCCACTCCATTCCTATTTACTTTCGTGATCGATGAAGCAATGAGGAGGACGACGAAGGTCTGTAAATCTCCGGTGTTCAAATAACCTGTAACGAAAACCTTGTCGATCTAGAATATGCAAATGACATCGTTTTAGCCTTCGAAGAGAAGAAGGTGCGGTGTTTTTGGATGAACTAACCAAAGTCGCCCCGCACCTTGGTATGCACTTTGCACCCACAAAGTGTAAGGTCATGCTCCTGGACATGCAGTCACTAACCACGCCACCTAAAATCCAGGGAGAGGTACTGGAAGTTGGGGAATGGTTTACCTGTCTTAGTTCTGATTGTAGTGTGACAGACGAGGTCAATTCACGAGTCTACAAGGCTAGGGCCGCGTTTGCTAATCTGATACAACTATGGCGTCAAAGTTGTGCATCCTTAAATCTCAAGGGACGTGTGTATCAGGCTACGGTGCGGGCTGTGTTGTTGTATGGCTGAGACTTGGTCAGTTCGAGGAGCGGTACTGAGAAGTCTTCAGGTGTTTGACAGTCGTCTCAGGAGCATAGTCCGTGTGGGTTGCTGTCTGAGAACCTGAAACGAGGTAATCTGAAAGCGAGTTTTCTGTTGTGCAACGGTTGCCTCCAGCACCAGAAGCTGCGTTGGTTGGGACATGTATTGCATATGCCGAACCATCGTTTGTCCAAAAGAACGCTGTTTTCCGTGCCCGATCCGGAGCAGTGGAAGCAGGGAGATGGCCAACCCTTTACCTTGCTGAGAGACATGAAAATGATTCAACTGTAGCAGCAGTTTGACCACAGAGAGTGAATGGACTTCGGTTCCCGCTGAAGGTGATTCCAAATTTGTCATGTTGACCAAGGAGGTCGTGGTCTAACAGCTTTTCAGTACATAGGCTGGACAACATTAGTGGCTTGATTCTTTTCGCAAACAGTCCTGTTAGCGACCGATACGTATGTAGCGGACTAGGACCTTATCAGCGTGTTCGGATAAATTAACAAGCAAAGTAACCAATACAAAATCACAAATCACAATGGGAAAAGGAATGAGTAGTCAACTGGGGACTCACGAATGTGTAGATCCAATATTATTCAATTATTCAATTATCCAATTATTCACGGCTAAAAAATGTCACAGGTATCTATTGTGACGTTCAACAGTTGACACAGACACAGAGATTTGGTCCCACTGGTTCAGCGGTCAACAAACAGTTCAAAGGAGCGTAAATACGCTCGTTCAGCAAGAAGTCAGCAGGTCGCGCCGGAAAATTGTATATTCGTAACATTAAAACAAACGTCATGGTACAGTGTGAACGACAGCTACAAAGTGTGGTTCAAGTTCAGGAAGAATGGTAAATGTGACAACGGATTGCAGACACTACACGTAGTAGAGGCCGCTAGTTAAACATGACGGATTGTAGACGCATGGTACTTGTTAGCTTCCAGCCATGTGTACCAATTAACAAAGGAGATAACTTCCCGAACCTCCGGTATCTATGAGGGCCTAAAGCGATAATCCGTTTACTTTTATGCTGGTCATCGTGCGGAACAAACAACTTCGGTCTGTATTAGGTAACAGAAAAGATAAGTAAGAATCAGCCGTACAATTTGGATGATGTTTGATAGATTCGGATAACAAATCCGCTTAAAATGGCCTGTTTTTCCGCATGATTCCTATTGAGTGTTTGAATTGTGGATGCCTGAACGCCTTCGAAAATAACACTCCTGTTAATTGATTGACGAGAGATAAGGTGTGGAAACAGTAGGTTGGATTTGACGGGGCGACCGTTGTTGCTTGTAAAGGCGTCGCAGCTGTATAAAATGATATCTGTTGATTACGCAAGCACGACTGGCTGACTGTGTGCCGATTCTAATAACCTAGCTAATTCATTTGCTTCATCCAGGGTGAGTTCATTTTGAGCCAGTCTTTCCTTGATGATTGCAGACTGAAGCCCTTTGGTCAGATCGTCGCATACACTTTTGTTTTGATGGTCACTGTTGGGTACCTCCTTGAAATCGCAATTTTTGGCCAAGGATTTAGGCTTTTGAACAAATTGGTCAACATTTTAGCTGGTTTCTTGTTTTGGCGAATGTGCACCAATAACGGATTCATACTTAGGACAGTCAGCGATGTAAATATGTACAGGTGCATCCATAAAATGAGTCAAGGTTTCGAATTAGGAGTCGATTTATGGGAGTCGACAGTCTCCAGGAGCGTTTGGAAGGTTTGCAGCGAATGATTTTAGAGTGCAGTGGCGTCTTTAGTATTCAGGTGTGTGTCGATTCTCTTGGGTCACTTCAGCGATTCTGTTGTATTCTTAGACAAGCAAATTGTTATGGATAAGGTTTAGATCCTGATTGAGTGCGATAACCAGACTTAATTGCATGGATTGACTAGCGCTTCACTTGTCTAAGAATAGATGCACCTAAGCTGAAATAAACGCAAAGGCTGGTTAATGCGAAGTGATAATGTGAACACAAAGGATGGTCACGGTAGGCACCAATGACCTCAGAGCGGTTCATCTCTGCATATCAAGGGACATGTATGTTAGACCATATTACGGGCTGTTTTCCTGTGTGGTTGTGGGAAGTGACGTACGTTTACCGATATTCTCAGGCGTGTGATAACATTTATCATGGGAAAAGTGTTGCTTTCGTGGCTAATTCGAGCCAATATGTGGGCAGCCCTTTACAGGGCAAAGGTGAAAAAATAATCGCTCAGCTGCAACACTCTTCCTCTGTCTAGCTACCATGCCGCACAAAGGAAGCACGAGTGCTTGAGTACTCTCGAGTTGCTGAAGCACAAAACAGGGTAAGTCGAGATGCAGACGTCGGGTTCAAACCCCGTTCAGGAAAATCGCGCTCTGTCCACTGGATTATCTTGCCCCGGGAAAAGGTGAAAGAAAAAGCTTACGAGAAATCCGGGTAATATCAGCGCAACCACTTCCTGGATGGAGTGCATGTTATCCTACTGTGCATAACTGGAGGCTGATAGCTGGTGTCACGTTTTATCCAGATTGAATGGAAGTATGGACACTTCGGAATGTTTTAGCAGCTGGCACCTGGTTCTTTCTTTATCCCCTTTCATTTCCTTTAACATAAATTGACTTTGAGACAGGAATTATCAGTGTTGAACACTGGTGTGCTCTAGCTGATAGTATTAAATCTATAAAACAGCGGGTAATAGATTTTATGTTGTGATATTTATTCTGTTACAGCTAGTAACGAACATAACCTACCAGGTTTCCACATTGCAGTTGGCTTGATTTGTTTTCCGGTTTAAATATTTATGCTTAAAATCATGACTGTAAATCGTCAACTATTGCAACAATTCACTTTATTTGGTTTTAGTGCTACCCCTGTCTGGCTAGCAGTCTCACAATCGTCTTCTAGCATCTCCGAGTACCGCCATCGTGAATGCTTGGACTATTCAATGAAGCTAAACCATGTTCTTTTATATTGCAATAGTCTCTTTATTTGATCTGTCAACTGGACTTTCGTCGAACCCGGAAGTGTCATTGCCTACGAGATGTGAAGGTAGGAAATACAACTTGCTTTAATAAAGGCTTTCCAGTCTGTCGAATACTAGTATACGAAGTTCTACAGCGTTTGCGGGAGACAACTTCAAGCCAGTCTTTGTTGGTCTCTTCGACCCCAACAGGCAGCAAGTCAATAAAATATGATAGATCGTACTAACCCTGTTCGTATTTCTAACCCTATTTAGCGAACTTAGGTTTTACAATGTGTTTCAAGAACCACCGATATGCAACCGTATGCTGCAGTACAAGCTTCACAAAGAACGAAGCGGTTGTGGTCGATTTCACAGAGATACGCCAGAGACACTAAAATCCCTTCGGGAGCTAGTGTAGTGCTCGTTTCTCACACGTGTAAATATGTATATTCACTGCAGGCAGCGTGGAGTAGATGTGAAGCTCGATGTTCCTCTGGAAATGTGGGATCAACCTTCTGTGGAGATCACTTCCCTGTTTAAACAGGTTAAGTAACTTTCAAATTCAATGAACTGTGGTCCGTAGTGCGCGAATATGTTATCGCACCATGAAGAAGCGCTCGAAGAGTGGTTCTTTTCCCTTCAAGGTGAACGGGATCTGTTGCAGTATTTATGTGGTGAGAAAATATTGAAGGACCATGAAAAAGGTTGGTTGTTAGCATTCTCTTCTAAAGTTGCATTGTTTCCACATCCATGCGACTGTCAGGGTATGATCAGTCATTTGTAAATTTGCTCATATATGTATGACTACTGTCTTTGGGCTCCGTAGTCACATCCATAGTAAATACCATGACAAGCGCTAGGTGCAGTAGTTCCCTCAAATATGCTCCCACGAAATGAGACTCTCCGCTAGGAACTCTTCGCTGGGCTTCCGTCAGATCTGACATCAGACTAATGACTTTTGGAGGACCACCCAACAAAGGCCGCTGTAATTATCTTCGAGAAACAATCGCATCCTAGTAAAGACCAAGACATGGAGTTAATCTTTTGAGTTTTCCCTTATTGAGGCATCGAGTGGACACGTTAGGAATTGTCAAATCGGATTTCAACGTATTCAAGGATTCCAAAGGTGATTTTTAGCTACGTGAACCCTAATCATTCCGTTCGGAAATGAGTGCCTCAAAAGATAAGTAACTGCCCTGGGAGCAGCACACTAACACTCCGTTACCGACAACAAACACAGTGCCCACAGGATTTCGCATGCAGTGCCCTCATAAGGGATATAAATTTGGAAGAGACATCTTTGATTGCCAGACACTGTCAAAGTTTTTGACGGTCGACATTCCTAAAGGCGTCGTTCAGGTGGAAAAAACGACCAACGTCTGACGTCTAAAGGAGTGGCGCTGCTCAAGAACTTGTCTCAAGATTAAGATATGGTCTCTGTAATCTCGATCACAGTGAAACCCAGCTTGATTCTTACGAATCTGTCTCACTCGAGAGCACCCTAGATGCGACTAATACCAGGCTGATACCACGAGGGTTTTTACATGACGTTCTTGCTCTTTTTTTGAAAACTGGGGTGACGGTCGAGGAGCTCCATTAGACCAATATTCTGTTTTCGTTCCAAATCTTCCGATGTATGGTTGTCAGACTGTTCACTAGGACCTCGCCAACTTCTTTGCAGAATGCGGGATGTAGGCCATCCGCGTCAGGTGCCTTATCCTACTGAAGGAGTGATATCTCACACTGGATTTCGGTTGTTGACGGCGGGGCGGTGTCGATGTTCCATTCAGGTCCACTGGGTTCTACCAGTTGTTGTTTTGTTGGAAACCAGCCGAACTGTTCTTTAAAGTGTGCAGACGGCGATTGAGAGAGTGAATTGCCGTTCCGTCTTTTTCTTGTATTGTTTCACTTACACCTGATTTCTTTTGACGGGTTGATCGGATCATCTGAAATTGGGCGTGGCTGTTGCTTGTAACGAAATCCTGCTCTATCTTCTGGGCTACCAGCGTTTTTCAAGCTCCTGCTTATCCGGTGTTCGAGAGATCTGCGAGTGCCTTCACGGTCTCTAGTTACTTTTGTGGCCTTTCTGGCACTAGCAATATCTGCGGATCATTTAGTCAAATCAGTTGGTTTGAACAAACACTTCTGAAAGCCGAGAATATTGCTTCTTTAACTCACCTCCATTCAACCTCCAAGCAATCGTCGTAATCCGCATGACTGTGCATTACCAGTAGCTTTCTAGCCAGGTCAGCTCGACAAGCCTGAGCTACTGAAACTTGTCGAAGTGAACGGAGCTGCTCTCCTTTGGCACATGTGGTGCTGATGGAAAGCAAATCGATAACCGGGCTCGCACAATGGCTTGATCAGGTTCAAGCTGCGTACACCAGAAGGAACGACACTATTTGATGCTCTCCATCGGTAACTGATAGCCAATTGAGTTCGTGATTGTTCTGTGGTAGGTAGCCTCCAAGTAACTCGATATGCGCGTTTGTGTTGGAAGTTCATACTGGCCAGGATCAGACGATTACGTGCACACAACTGAAGCAGTTGCTCTCCATCATCCGCACGCTCAGCATCAACTTCAAACCTTCCAACTAACTGTGCTTCCTTTGACATCATTCGTGCAACTTGGGCATTCATTTTGTCGTCTGATTTGACGAGAGTACGATATGGATCAAATCTACCTGGCTAGTAAAAGGCTATTTCGGTTTATCTTTCTGGGTGACGTTTTAGAAATGGAACATTGGCAAGGCGAGCGACATATGGGTTTATCGCACTACATCATTCGGTATGTTGGGATGGGGCTTGGGGGAAGGCCAGTGGGCGAAGAGCTGCAAGCGCAAATGATAATTCTCGATTGCTCAAGCCAAAGAAGGGGGTTTGGTTGAGGTACTCCACCTTGACTCAAAAGTCTGACCCACAAGGCATTTGGAGGATGTAGGGTCTTGTTCGTGGACCCTACTGCTAGTCTCTGACTCAAAAGTCTGAACCGTGAGGCAGCGGTTGTTAGCGTTTTCTTGGGGGACCTTACATGGAACCAGTGAATCAATAGTCTGATCCGCCTGGCTACAGGGGGCCAGCCTGGCTCGAAAACGTAGGGAGTAAGGCATTACTGTTCAGCTTTATGTCGGGCGCGTTAATACGAAAACCATGTAAGCGTCACCAGTTATCACATACAATGGATGAGGTTCCCGTGGTCTTGATGAGGAACTAATCTTTGTTCGGCCTGCCATATATGTAGAATGGGAGCTGAAGAAAACCGTAAAGAAGAGATTAGGCTGCGTTTTAGACTTCCCCGTGAAAATCAAACTGGCATGCAAATGAATAATTTGCGAATTCCGTGCAATTAGAACATAAGATTGGAACTGCGCCTAAGTGGGTGAGAATTTGTCTAATAATCAAATAAACTTTGTGGCTCTGCGCCAGTGATATTGTTGTCTCTGATGATGATGATGCATAATCTTGTGTATACCCAACTCCCAAATAAGCTTGTCATTGTATTCGTTCGTGATGATATCTTACAAACGAGCGCTGTGATGGTGTGGCAACTGTTTTCATATCTTTTACAATAACGTCTCATTTTATACATCATCGGCGTCCAAATCCTGTGGCAACACATGATTCATGATTTAAAAGTTTAACATCATAATATTCGGATGATTTCGCAACCTCCGCTGGTATTTTTTCGGACCATAGTTCATCCCACACGCTTGGCTGTGATATTTCCCTAGTAGACGGTGCGGTCTGTATAAGTTTACCTATCCAGTTAGCTGCTAATGATTAATTTATGTCCTTTACGACCGAATGAAATTAAGCATGCCTACGTGCAACAGTGTAGCACAGCCTGGTGTGCGAACTCGCATTTTTTAACCAAATAGCCGGAAGAGAATCGTATACGCGGAAATTGTTAAGCAAGTGGATGGTTCTTTTATATAGGTGGCTATTCCTGGTTGCAGTGCTTCTTTTATGGTGCACATTTCAGAGCTGTAGGTGCTACTTAATAGTAATAAAGTAATAAATGATCGTTCGCCTGTAAAACCCTTTCGGTGCCTAGCTGCTGTACCACCTGAAGGAAGCATGAGGGCTGGGATACTGCCAGGTTATTCAAGTCTAGACAGGAGAAATCGAGATGCAGAGGTCCAGTTCGAAGCACAGACCTTCCATTCAGTAAATTCGCGCTCTAACCACTGAGTCATCGCGCCCTTGTGCTACTGAATGTACTTTCATGGTTTGTTCTCGATTGCCTTCTACTGAGAAGATTTAAGTTTGGCGTTGGCGTGAAAACAACCTCTCGTGTGCTTCCCTCCTTTATGTTATTTCTCATGTCTGCGGTTAATCATACGAGCATGTACATCGCTGTGGATGTCACTAGGAAATCTGATAGATGCAGTTTTGTTTCTATACCGTAATAATCATTGCTGAGACTTCGAACATACTTACTATGATTATCTTCGTTTGTATCCGCAGATTGTCTTTCGGAACCTTTTCCACAGTCTGGAAAAACTCGTAAGTCTACTTTTGGCATCAGAGTGCAGATACGTCCTAGCAGTGTATTGATATGATAGGATAGATGTTTTCAAGTGTTGCTGCACCTCTACTCCTTCTCGGTGATAACTTTTCCTCTGTCTGGGTTACATTTCTGTATATTCTAATAATAGTTTTACCCTCCTTGATGGTGATTCCATAAGGTAGTCGACTCATGGTATGGGCTGTTTTCTAAACAGCCTGTTTAACTTCAACAGTGATAGCAAACGTTAGGAATGGGAATACACTGATGCTGACAGAAACTGTCATTCTACCTCATGGTGTACTCACTACATATCTGGCTTCGTGCACTCGATCATACCATCCGGTCGGATATCCAATAAGATCAATACGACAAATCATTGGGATCTAATGGGTTTCACAAGTTGGGTAGAGGGAAACTCTACAGAGTCCCGTCACTGATGAGAATTATTGATAGATTCATGACGGCTAACTAGCGTTTCAAAGGGTCCTCCTGTTTGTTATATCGGATGCTGTGCAGTGGCTGCATCTTCAAACGACGCGCTATACAGCACTTCTGCGTTTATCTTCAAGAGCAGAAAAGCCAGTCGTGTGCTTCTGACACACTCTTCAATGATTAGTTCGCATCGTAATAAGTAAATCTCAGCGATGAGGTTCAGTTTTATTCTCTGTGTAATTCGATTAAGAACCATACAGCCGGTGATCATGGGTGGTTGATAAACCCCAATCGTAGAAGAAACCAGTTCTCAATATGTCCGTTAAGGCTTCTGCAGAAGTGATGCGGTAAAATAACCTGATGTGTGATGAACTTCATTAAAGTACTCCATCTAACATACGAACTGACTGAAGCAGTATGTAGGCTTGCGGTCGGGAAATGCTAATAATGAGAAGTGAAAACAGATGGCTTATTTTCTAGGCATTTTCCACAGACATCACGATTATAGTGAAAAAGACCTGTTCATTCTCCGTTCAGTTGTATGCTTCTTGGTTTCTGAATTATTTCTGAAGCGACCATTTTGCTGAGCGAGGGTTTC